TCAATACAAATACCACAACAAATGATTATGTATTCTGATATACCAAATCCATCAAATTATTCATGTCCATTACATATTCAAGGTATTAAAATTCGTATGCCAGATCCAAAATATTGTAATGTTTTTTATGAATGTACTTATTCAAAACTTGTTGGATCATATTTTTGTATTGAATCACAATATGATCCAATTGAAAATGATTGTGTACCATTAACAATAAATAATAATTGTCCACCTGAACGACGTTATACACATTCACGTTCACGTTTAGCTGCACAATCATCAATAACAGCATATTATGAAGCTGTTGAAGTACGAAATGTTAATCCAAGTGGTTATGAATGTATTACTGATGGTATTCATACAGATCCAATGTTTTGTAATTTATTTCATGCATGTTCGGGTCGTACACGACGAACATTTCAATGTCGTCAAACCGGCACAGATGGTATTAATGATGGAGTATCAACATTTGATTTAAATACAAAAAGTTGTACAAGATTTTCATCATATTCATGTTCAACATTACTTTATAATCAAGAATTTCTTATTTTACCTGTTATGTTTAAACCTCCAACTGTTTCACCATGTGGTAAACAAGGATTTTTTCCTGTTTCGGATGTAACAGCACAATATTGTAATATGTTTGCATGGTGTTCAAAAACACATGGAGAAGCTAAAGTATTCGAATGTGTTCCATCAATAAATGGTGCACATTTAGGTGCATTTGATATATCAAGACGTTCATGTACATCTCGTTCAGGATGTCCACATGCACGTCATTCATCACGATATAATACAAGTTTACTTGCAATGACATTAAGACCAAAAATAGTTAGTATTGGTAAACGTAAACAATTTTCATTAACAAGTACAATGCTTGAAAATGGATATATTGCATTGGGTGCAGATTTTCAAACAACATTTACATGTCCATTAGGTGCAACAGGATTTTTTTCAAATCCAAATTATTGTGATGTTTTTCATTATTGTTATGAAACGGGTGAATTATCATCATTTGTTTGTGCATCAATGCCTAATCGATATCAATTATGGTGGAGTCATCAAAATGAACCAGGTCGACCAGATGTAAATAGAAATTTAATTTAAAATAGAAAAATAAATGATTATATTAAAACTTTTATTTTTAGAATGTTTTTTGTGATTGGCCATGTAATTTACAAGGTGTTTATGCTTGTCCAGCTCATAAATCAGTTCTTATGCGTGATCGACAACCAAGTGGTAATATTGCACAACAAGAAATTATTGAAGCTACATGTTCATCAGCTCAAGTACCTACTCTAGCTGTTCATGTTAATAATTTTACACCAGAACCTATTGGAGTGATGACTCCAACATTTTTTCCAGCACCTTCATCTAATGTAAACAACATTCCACAACCACCACCGCCACCATCTTCATTTGGTAAATGAAATTTATTAGGTTTTCTTTTTCTTAAACTAATAAATTTTATTTTTTATTATTTATAGGTGGTACAGGTATCAGTTCATCTGTTCTAGGATTTCAACCATGTGCAAAATCAAGTGAATGGTATGTTAGTCAACCAACAATTCGATGTAGTGCATCATTTGCTGTAACTGGTTTTGCACCTGATCCAAAAGATTGTTCGAAATATTATGTTTGTGATTCTTATGTTGGACGTGATGGAATGGCAACAGGTGAAATTAAAAGAAACTTTAATTTATAAACATTTTAGTATTTTTTGTTTATATAAATAGGTCTTTTAATGCAATGTTTAGCTGGTTTATGGTGGGATCAACAACGACGTACATGTGTACTTCCATCTGAAGTTGCATGTAATCCATATAATATTATTAATTCTCAAGGAAAAAGTGTTACGTTTGACAGTAATCCAAATGGTAAAATTTTATTTGAATAATTTCTTTGTAAATAAATGATTTCATTTAGTTATGTATCAACCAGTAGTACCACAATCAGTTCCTCTACCAGCTTTTCCTACAACACCAGGTGTGACTTATCCAAAACTACCACTACCACACCCACTACCACACCCACACTCACACTCACAACCACAACCACAACCGCAACCGCAACCGCAACCGCAACCACCTGTTCAAACTGGTTCAGGTATAAATATAAAAATAATCATAATAGATTTATTATTTTGTGAAATATGATCTAAAAGGAATATCGAAATATAGAGGAAGAAGTCGGAACTTCTACCTCCTCCCCTCACCCCGACAGACTTAATCACGAAACTGAAGCATACGTTACAGAAACTCTTAATTTACAGATAAATTATAATTCACATATTAATCTCTCAAAGATTGAGTTAACATTTTTTTTTCTTTTAAGGACCAAATGGAGCACCATGTCGTGGCGTTCCTCTATGTATTGATGTTGGACTTAATATTCTTCAACAAATGAAAGGCATTCCTGGTCGACCAGGATGGTTGTATGTATTTGATTTGATTTTTCTTATGTTATTTTTTTAATAATTTCTTAATTAAATTTTAGTTATAAATGTGACAGTCAATGTGCACTTGAAATGCGTTGTCCACCAGGTTTAGTTTTTGATGATTTATATCAACGATGTGAATGGCCTGGTGCTGGTGGTAGTATTCAATCACCAAGTCATCGTTTAAGTAGTTTAATTAATAAACAAGATCAAATAAAAAATGAACAAAACCAAATTAATTTTATGACAACAATAAAAGAAAAAATTTCCACAGTATCACCATTAAACAAAGGATATAAAGTTGCTGATCCATAAAATAAATAATTTCAAGCATATATATATATATATATATGCTGTCATACAGCAAATACAATAGGACATGAACATATTTCCTCTTTTCATTTGTAAATATATTTCGCTTTTTACGACAAGTTTTTTCATTATTCTTCTTCTTTTTATTATTAGTAGTTTCATTATTCTCTTGAAGAAATAAAAAACAAAATAAATAAATTTACAAGTGTCTTTAGATATTCAGATAAATTTGTTTTTTTTTTTTCTTATGACAATTATCATCATCAATAGAACACAGTGGCGAATTTAGAAAAGATGAAGGAATAGATTTAAATCTAATATGTGGATATTTACACGAATTGTATAAATGTTTTTCTTTTTTAATATTTATTCGGGATGATTGTTAATCATATAATCCAGTTTTTGTTTAATCTTAAATAATATACTTCAGAAGACAAATTCTTAATGTTACAAAAGAAATATATGAAAGTCAATAGCTTTATAATTCTTGGCTAGTCTACTATAATCTATTCAAGTAAAATGTACACTTCATTAATCCTAGATCATATAAAAAGAATTGAAGAGACAACACTCATATAGACAATGATTATAAAACTATCTAATAGTTCAAAATAGATTTTTAATTTATTTATTTGCCTGTGTTAAATTCTTATAATTTCAACAGAATTATAACAAAAGTCTCTGAAATTTGACAATCAAATTTCTTACCTGAAGGAAAAATAAAATTTTACTTTACTGTGACAGAGTGATACAATTCAATAGATTGATTACATACCCATAACATTCGATCTTCAAGAAAATCTGTTTTCCTTCAAATTATTACTGTTGTAAGAATTCAAAATGAAATCAAAGCATGAACCTTTAAAAAAAAATTAAAACGGTTAATATGATGAACTCATATACTATATAATATTTTGACATTGTTCGTATCAACACATTTGCTTGTACTACCGATATTCATGAGAACTGACAGTAGACTACCATTCAGAGGGTAATGCATTTTTGTTTAGTTTGAATTACTATCAGTGTACAAACTGCTTTCTAGTCAAACTGATGAATTGTGAATTCTATATAAATCTTATTTCGATGAATTCAAGATTGATACATCTATGTCTACCATTCAAAAAGAGCATACTAAACTGAAATACGCAAGTTCGTAGTTTTCAAATAAATATTTGACAAAAAAAAAAGACAGTATAAAGAATTTTCTTCATAGTCATTTAATTATTATTACTGATTCTTATTATTATTTCAACGCTAAGTCTATCATCGAAATCTGAAGAAATCTCATTTTTATTCAAAATGTCGACACACTTCCATTACAGACATAAACTTTAGTGATTGTTTCTTATATCGTTATTCTAACGAGTTCAGAATATACCTTGTTTGATAAAAGCATTGCGAGAACTCTTTAATACCAGATCCATCCTAGAGTCAAATATCGTTGGCTAGGATAGATTCAAACATTTGTTTTTCTGTTCCATGAGATTGATAGATTTATGCAATGCATCGAAATTCTTCTACAAACGTCAAAATTTTTCACCGCCTTCGAGGAGCAAATAATGAAATAGAATTAGAAAATGTTCTTGACGAAACATTAAATTTTGTATGACTAAATACTGATAAACTACAAGTTACCGAAAGTTTACATGACTAAGAAACATTTTCAACAAAAAATGAGTGAATTCACAATGTTTTTGTAAACACTATTGCATCACTATTAATTCTGGTTTTCAATACAGTAGATCAACAATTCTTCTTTCTACAGTCAAAATAAAGACAAATGTTGGTGTATTTCTTTGAGTGCATGTTTTTCTAAACCACACAAACTTGATACGGTCCGCAGTATGAGTTGGAAATAGGAAGCACTGACTGTTTCTCAGCTGAATAGTATAAATAGATTTGTCCTTCTTCTTAATTTTAACTTCTCGGAGACGATCTTATAAAGGTTGTTGAACCTATCCTAGATTCAATACATCCCATCGCCTACACATTCTATATATAGGCTCATCGTATTAGCTGTTTTATTCAAAAAACAGCTATAAATCGATTTTGATTTATGAACGTTTTTCTTTTCTATTAAAATGCTTTATTTTTGTTTTTAAGATAAATAAATCCTATCTGACAACTAACGTCCTCATATATCCTACTTCTTGTCATAAAATAAATGGTTCGTATGTTAACAAATGGTAATAAAAGTCTGACTTGACAATACAAAAAAAAAAAGGCTTATAATTTATTAAAAATTATGGAACTTACACGTCGTAAAAGTCAAACAAATAAAATCAATGAAAATAATCTAACAGCTTTAAATAACCCATTAATTTCTAATGAAAAAAGAAAAAATTCAACTGATATAATGTCAACAGAAAAAAATAATTTTTTATTCTATCTACAAAAATTATTTCTTGATCAAATTTCATCAAATACTTATTTTCATACACGAATTCTATTCATACGTTTACTTGGTCTTATATATACATTCAGTTTTCTTGCTGCTTATCATCAAGCACCTATTCTTATCGGTTATCAAGGTCTTTATCCATCATATATTTATATGAAACGAATGAAAGAACGTTATGGAATATGGCAATCACCATCAATTTTCTATTTTTTACCTTCAATGGATACATCTGATATATCATTACGTACAATTTGTGCTTTAGGTACTTTACTTGGAATATTTTTATTATTTACTGGACGATGTAATTCAATTATTTTATTTATACTTTGGTATTTTCAAACAAGTCTACATAATATTGGACAATTATTTTATGGGTATGTAAAACAAAACAAAAAATAATTGTATATAGTGATTATTAAAAAAAAAATTTTTGTTTTCTTTTTTATTTAATAGATATGGTTGGGAAATACAAATACTTGAAACAACATTTTTAGGAATGTTTCTTGTACCATTATATAGTTTATCAAAGATCGATCGGCATAGTCCACCGAGTATTTTATTTATTTTTCTAATGCGTTTTTTAATTGCTCGAATTATGCTTGGTGCTGGTTTAATTAAAATTCGTGGTGATCAATGTTGGAGAGATCGTAAGTAATACTATTTCTTTTTCAAATTATAATATAAATACTGAAAATCTGAAAAATATTGCAGTAAGTCGCCTTCTATTAGAGTTTGTCAGATTGGATCTGAAGAGCTCTATCATTCACATTTCTTAGACGACTTGTCTGAGAAACATGTAGAGTGCACTAGTTACCGAATACAAAAAACTAGAAAAAAAATCTCGCATCTTCGCGACGGTTATCCTATTCCGACTTCGTAAATCATTAGAATTTGTTATTTTTTGAATTTCTAGTTACTTGTATGGACTATCATTATGAAACTCAACCAATACCAAATCCAATATCATATTATCTTCATCAAACATCAAGTACATTTCATAAATTTGAAGTACTTATAAATCATTTTACTGAACTAATTGTACCATTTATATGTTTTGGTCCATGGCGTTCTATTAGACATATTGGTGGAACATTACAAATTTTATTTCAAATATTATTAATTATAAGTGGAAATTTAAGTATTTTAAATTGGCTTACAATTTTACCAGCATTATGGTGTTTAGATGATTCATATCTATTATATAAATATATATTTAAACGTGAAATATATACAGAAATAATTTCTTATGGTTTTCGACGACGAATAAAATTTTTAAGATCAATAATAAAATTATTTGTATTTAGTTTAGTAATTTATTTAAGTATTGATCCAATATTAAATTTATTTTCACGTTATCAACGAATGAATTCAAGTTTTGATCGATTTCATCTTGTTAATACATATGGTGCATTTGGTAGTGTTGGAAAAATTCGTAATGAAGTTATTATTAGTGGTTGTAATCGATCAACTATTGAACAATGTAATTATGATAATGCTTGGCTTGAATATGAATTTAGTTGTAAACCAGGAAAAATTGATAAATCACCTTGTTTTACTGCGCCTTATCATCGAAGATTAACATGGCAATTATGGTACGAATAGTTTAAGTTTTTTTTTTCTTCGTTAAATTATTTTATGTGATTTTCTTGTTCTATCTTAAAGGTTTGCAGCAATGCAAAATTTACAATATAATCCGTGGCTTATTCATTTAATGGCACATTTACTTGCATCTGATCAATATTCACCTGTAAATGTTGTTTTATCTATTGGAGGAAATCCATTTCCCGATGCACCACCACGTTTTATTAAAGCTGATTTATATCGTTATAAATTTACACGTATGAATAGTGGAAATAAAAATTGGTGGATACGAAGTAATCAACAACCATATTCACCAATATTTGAATTAAAAAGTCCACAATTAAAATCTATTCTACGACAAATGGAATGGAAAATTCCTAAAGTACCTATGCGATCGTGATTTTTAATGGTGAATCTTATTTTCATATAAGCAGATAAATTATTATTTTTGTTTTCAATTATTAAAGTTCTCTTTAGACTATAAAGTAAATAAATGTTTTGTTAAAATTCCAAACATGAAAAATTTCAATGACTAACAAACTAAGTTTATAAAGTATACAGATCAGTTGAATGATATAAAGCTATTGAACATGATAAAATTGATTTTATTTTAATCCATATTTATTTAGAACACATGAATCGTGACAACATGACATTCGACACAAGTTTACACGATCATACAAATATGCCTATAGTCAAATAAACACATTTCGTGCTGTTTATTATAAAAGACGATGCAAAATTCGTCATTTCGTCTAAGCGTTTCGCATCATACTTTATATGAGTAATGTAGGACGTGCTTTTTTCCTTATTAAAGTCTGGTTTACGTCTGAAATCGTTTCAAAAATGAAATACGCTTCACAATTTCAAACACTCAGTTTGTAAAAAGCATTTTTCTCTAACAGAGCAACTTTTTGGAGCATTTCATTTCAAAAAAACGTTTCAAAATGCATTCAAAGGTAGGATGCGTATAGCATTATTTCCAACAATGAAACTTTCGAGATGTGTTTCTTCGAATAATGACGCATTTTGCAGTGTTTCATCTTGGAAAATATAGAGAAAGTTCAGCACTTAAAAACGATAGTAACTCATAAATAGAATGTGTTCACTGCAAGATTCCATTTTCTACATTGCCTTTTTTAAAATTATTATCGTTCGTTCATCTCAAATCTCGATTAATATTCTATAAAAACTTCGAAGATTTTTATGTTCAGTTCAAACTGTTGTTCTAATAAAATCCGTTGGTTTAATCTTATCAGTTTGATTGTTGAATAAAAACATAATTCTAAAAAAATTCATTGTTTAAAGAAGAAGATGATAACAAAAAATAGCGTCCACTGTTTTTTTTTTTCATATGTACTATTCAAATGAAGCTGATTGAACATAGACTAGTCAGCTAGTAGAAAAGAGTTTCAATTGACTGGATTAAGATCATCATCTATTGGTATTCTACTAATAATCGAATGTATTCATCATGTCAACATCGAACATATAAATTATTTTATGTATTTGCATTTAAAATTATAACAATATTTTGTTTTTGATATCATGTCATAATATAGTTCACTTATTTCTTTAACTATGATTCACTGACAAATAGAATTGATGATCAATTGATATGAGGAAATGATTTTCAAGATGAATTTCATCCTCAATTAAAACATAATCATTCGTATACTCTTTCAATGATAAATGCAGAATCAAATACAAATTTTCATAACTGTTATTCCATCTCCATGGTTTGGCCATAAATATACTGTTTGTTGTAGAAAAAAATCTCTCAAGCAAAAACAGATCGAACTTGATATAACTTTTAGATGATTTTAAAATTACTTCAATATCTATTCAATAAATATTTATATTCTTCTTTTCTTTCAGACGTTACTTCGAGTGACCATTTAATTAAAATGAAATGAAATAAATATAATTATTTTAGTACGTTGATATGTTTTATCTCGTCTTTCATTTGATTTTTTTTTGTATGTTTTAATAAATTAATTCGTTCATCATTAGAAGAACATATACGAGAAAAAGATGAATCATTTAATTAATACTAGCGTACTGGATGAATCACGAATCACAATCACGCGTGATTAGAAGTTTTTTTCATGATCGTAATCGTAGTTGAAATTAAGATTTCATGATTCACGATTGTAACACATATATGTTCAAAATGTTAAATATTTATTCAGAAATTTAATGTTTACATTTTATCGGAAAAAATCTGACAATTCATATGTTACTTTTAACAAAAAGCAAATAAACAATATACCCAACGGAATGAAATATATCAGACAGATGACTAGATCGAACGTTGAAAAATTTCTCCTGTCTCTAAATACTATGTAACATTCGTGATCGTGATCAAAAATATCAATCACGTGGGACACTAACTCTAGTACAAAAACAAGCACAAAATTTTGATCATAACCTATGGTTTTTTATTCATCTATAATACTTTTAAGTAGGCCAAAATTACAACAAATCTTACCAAGAAACATCGATTCGATCATTCCATCCAAACTAATTTTTTAAATCTTTCAAAGATTCTCTCACTGCTCGTAAACAAAACTAGACACTGAATTTTTGAACTCATATTTGGAAAGAGCATAAAATTCCGATCCTAATCCACCTTTTTGCCTTCATCGAGAACACTTTTGAATGGATGAAAAATGAACAAACATTTTGTCCGGAAACTTTCGGTCCATCTGTTAAGATGATGCATCAAATCTTCTAAAATATTTATTTAAATTGAAAACTGACTATACTAAAAATTTTCTCTTATTATGATAACGGAAGTTTTATTTATTTCAATAGAAATAAATTGAAAAATCTATTTTAAGCTAGGTTTCTTTGTTAACTAGCAATAATTGAATCATCAAATAGAGATGGAATGAAATGTCTCATCGCTTGTAATTGTCTATTTTTGAATGTTTCTAATCATTTGAAATCATACAGAAACAAATATCAATTTGTGTACCTCCATATGAAATGAATTTTATTGAATAAATATGAATTTTTTTTGCTTCTTTACCATCCCTTGTCGTCTTCTCTTTCTATGAATTCTTTTGCTGTTGCTTTGTGTACCTCTACCCTCAAGAATGCTTATTTGATAAGAATTTAAAAAAGCCAAAAAAAAAAGAAGCAAAGACAGACAGAAACGGAAGATAAAGGTTTGCCATGCTGCATAAGTAAGAAACGAATCATTCGAAAAAAAAGCAAGCCGACGGTAAAAGACGCAAAAGAATTATATCAACACCAACTCGTCATTGAAATAACGAAGAACAGCGAGATTTTAATAACTTAACTGCAGTGAGTAAATTATTAGGAAGATTCGAAAAGCAAATGAAATTATTTTGCATGTTATGTAATTATTTAGCACTAAGATGTTCCGAATATTGGAAAAGATTGAGACAGATATGGCATTGACATTCATAACCGACTTCACTTAAGTCAATCAATTTATTCATGTATGCCAATTACCTATTGGGTTCATTTCCTATTTCACAGATGTCTCATTTCGTTTGATCATTGCATTCATCTCAATTCTATGGTGTTGCCTATATCTGATATGATTTGTCTGCCCCTTTTTTGTCTCCTATTAAATTCATCAATTTCAGTTATTAAAGAGATAAAAGACCTAAATCAATATAATGTAACTGTGAATTTTATGACCCTCCATAAAAAGACAACAGAGAAAATAGTCAAATTTGAGTGTAGATAAGACTAATGATTCAAAAACTCTCGGTCGTAAATCAATCTGCACAGATGAAGATCAAAACTTGTCAGATAGATAGAGCTCGTCGGATCCTATCCGGATTCATGTACGGTTCAGGTCTAAAAATATTGTGTCGATCAGACATCGAAAACAAATCGAACCCAAACTGTTTTGAAGAAAATAAATGTGAAGTGAATCGAACTTGAACCAGTAAAGCAGGTTTGATTCGATCTTTGGTGTCGACTGGGTTCGGGTCTAGGTCCAGGTTCAAAAATTCTTGAATCCGATGAGTTCTACAGATAGAGAGCAAAATGTGACCATAGAGACGAAAAGTTTCCACTCAAAGCAAAATCCGTAGCGGTAATGTCTAAAAGCTTTGTCTCATTCACTGATGTAACGAAGTTAGAGACACAACTTTCATCACTCACAGTAGTGTGAAATGTGAAGAACCAATCAGAAAAGAGCACAACTAAGACCTAACAGCTTTGGTCTACATGATCATGCTTCAAAATCAGTGTGCGAAATTTCGATTCTTCCATCATTTTGCTAGGATGGTGTTGGGAACCTCAGAGTTATAGAGCAATCTATTAAAAATGATCCTAGAAAGCTTCGGACAACAGAACAATATGTAAGGATGAGGGTTGAAAACTTCAAGTAGCATACGAGTTGCTCTGAGTCAGGATGAAGAATTCACACTCTCACAAACATGGACGATAGTAACGGCATTTAAGTCGCGATCACCTGGCCATTTAGCAGGATATTAGTAGTCAGTTTCAAGCAATACTGAAAATCATGAGAATGACAGCAGCATATTTAAACTCACATAGGATGCGTGTCGGTGTGGGCATGGATCTTGAAGTCAGTTTTTAAGCCATGAATACTGAGAAGTTCAATTTGAGTGAGTTTTGATGTAGGGAACAAGTGTCCGGGAAGCAATGATCGTAGAGGCATCTGTCATGAAATCGTAAGCTACTTCCTTATTGCAGCTTAGAGTATTCATTAAACAATGACGAAGAAATGTATTCTAAAATAGATCGCACATTTTAATCCCACAATGATTGTGCTAACAGCTTTTTTTTGAAATAGATCTTCACATGGCAACAACAGCTGGCAAAACTACTTGTGTTAAATGTAAAGAACCAAAAAACACAGTGAAATGTGCTGGATGTTTCCAAGAGTTTTGCCTCAATCACATGTTCGAACATCATAAGGAACTGAGCGAACAATTAGATGCAATTGAACATCAATTTAATGAATTTAAAATTGAAATTGACGGACAAAAAGTTGAGTCACAAAAACATGAATTAATTGAACAAATCGATAAATGGGAACGTGAATCGATCGAAAAGATTCGACAAGTGGCCAATGACGCTCGTAATGAACTTACATCATGTGTCACCACATTTTTCACAGATGTCGATCTTAAATTGAAACAATTAACAGAACGACTTATTAACTGTCGCAAAGAGGAAGATTTTATTGACACAGATGTTTACTTTTTCGATGAAGAACTTAAACAATTGAAAGATACTCTCAACAATCCATCAAATTTCAAAATTGAACAACAGTCAACATCTTTCATCAATAAAATTTGTCTTACAATGAGAAGTAAGTCATGCGTTCGAATTGAAATCGAAAGAATCCAAAGAGTTTTTCTTCACTTCATATTCTCCGATGACCAAAACGAACTGTTCAATTATTTGAATTGCATTTCATTGCAGAACTTCGTACGTCAAAGAATTTCATTCTGCAATTTCATTGAAATAAAACATTGAGCCTCAAGGTTTTCTTCTACAATCTTCACTGTTGTAAGAGAAGTTTCTATGAATCGGCTCTTTTTTCAAGAACTGGATCGAGTGATCCGTTCCGTTTTTTTGAGAGCTGGGTCTACTGACTAGGTCTTTTTAAGAGAACTGGAACTGTAAATCGATTCTTTTTTTTTTGAAACTAATGATATTTTATAAAATTTTGATCAAAGGCTTTCATGTTAAGAAATCCGAATCTGAAATTGGTTTGTCAAAATTTTCCGTTTTATTTCAAAAAAAGATTTTTATGAAAAAATTTTTTTTAAAAACAAAAATGAGTTTTTTCAGGAAAAATGTGATCTTTTTACGAGCAAAACTTGATTCTTTTACGAAAGCGTTTTTGAATAAAGATAAAATTTGATGATCAAACGTATCATTGTTTTTTGATGATCAAAAATACTGTCGCCCAACAATTATATTATAGTTTATTACATACAAATGTATACCCTTTAAAGATGAACCAAAAGAAGATAAGAAAAAATACACATATTCAATAATAGGCATAAGCTATCATTTACGACCATACAACTACATGGGTCGAAAAAAGCTCATGAACAAATTCGTCGAACGTAATGAATTCAATTAGGGCGAAAGTTATGAATGAATAAGAATTTAATCTTATAAATTGTATTTTGTTTTATACGAGGAAATGAAATTGTGTTTTGAATGAATGACTCGGACTCGTCCAACCTTAGAAACACACGAAAAAAATAAAATCACGCGAGTCTCGATTTTTAAGGAGTCTGATGGTATAAATAAAACGTGTTCAAAAATCGGTTCAATTTTCAAATTTAATTCTTCGAAACAACTGAAAACTGTAAAAAGCAGCTATTGGATTAAACAATTGATGAATTCTTTGTGGTGGTCAATGAATATTTTTCGAGTTGAAGACAACTTCTCTTCGTTGATCGAAAGATATTTTGTCGGAACTAGACAAAGATTGTAACGTTGACGATTCATCGTCAACACACTCGACTTTCATAGTGAAGATGGACACAATGTGTCAAGTTTCGAATGAAGTAACCGATGATCCATAAATAATGGGATAGTTTGATTTTCCGTTTTTGAAGAACAGACACACTGGTTAAAGGTGTCACTCAAAGCTCATTCCGTACAGAGTTTTTCGTTCTACAGAAGTGTGGAATTTGTTTTTTAAGTCAGTTTTTCTTGTCGATGAAAAATCGAAAATATTGACGGCTGTTTCCCTGCCTAACTGCAATTATCTGCGGACATTTGACGATTTATGTAAGCTTTTATTTAGCAGCAATAGATAGAGAATTTTATGTGCTATACTCCCAAGATCTTCTCAAGGCTTCTAATGATCTTGTTCAGATGAAAAAGACTTGGAACTAACACCTAACAATATTTTGTTTTGAATGTATTTTCGAAAACTTATGTTTTTAAAAGTTAGCGTGCTCTTTGGATGGTTTATGATTATATTATTGAATGCAGAATTGAATTCTGAACAAAATAATGTAACATTTAAATCGAACAATGAAATTCTTTAGATTGATTGTTTCGATTTAATAATAAACAATGGCATAGAGCTGTCAGAAAGAGTGTTATGCGTCATTTTCTAATTTTTGCTTGAAAAATTGTTCTTCCAATTGTATTTTTTAAATTAGAAAACGTCGCGAAATGCAATATTTCATCGAGTATCTTACAATATATTTCGAATTTTCGTGGAACTATTATTTAAACATAAATTTTAATAAAAGTTCTGTTTTCTGGCAGTTGCAGTTCAAGTGCTGAGGGGCTGTCAATCTTTTCAAATTATATTGCTGTATTCATGAAAAGAAAATCAAAATATCCCATTCTTTATGGGTTATCCATTACGAGTGATATGAAGTCGAATTTAACGAAAATTTTCTAATTGTCGAATATTTGTATAACTCTTTTAAATTTCTAATTAGAACATTGTTCGGAAATGAAAATAACTGCTTGGTGATGTATTTAGAATAGATAGAAAAAAAATTCTTTTCATCTTTGATGAATTGAACTTTATTTGTGTCCAGTGTAAAAGAAATTGTGTTTGAAAAAATTTGAGAAAAATCACAAGATCTTTTGAGATTTTTTGGATTTCTTGTAAGCTAATCTCAACAATAAGATAACTGAAGAGTTGATATTCATCGAAATAAAACAATGCTTTGATCTTGAACGACAAACTGATCGATATTTGATGGATATTGTTAAGTCAATACTTTCGATGGTTGAAGAAAAAGAGTCAAATTTCTTTTCTTTCAAAAGCGGCAAACAATTTAAATAAAAACAAAAAGGAAAATAATAGGAAAGCTTTCTCTGAATGACAATTATAAGAAAAATAGAAGTTTGATTCTCTTCACTTTTGACTGATATTCAATGAAAAATAAAGGAATGAATTATGGTTCAAATGAATCATTGATCTTGACCTTTTCGAAAATAAATAATCATGTCAAGCATTTTAAAGCTTTTGTTACATCTACGAAATTCTAGATGATCAGAGAAAGTTAACAATATTTCCCTCAACTATGTTGTCATATTTCAAATATTTATTCGATTGATTTTATGAAAATCAAACTACAAAATACTTCATCAAATGTTTTTTAAAGTGTCGATTGTTTGTTCTTCAAAATAAATTTCTTATTTCATCATTGAAATCAAATTTGTAGTTCTTAACATGAATTTCATTTCGATGAAAGCGTTGACAATATTGAATTAATTATTTTTATTTGAAAAAAAAAAGTTGGAAAGAAATATTTCACTGAATCTATTTGATAAAAACGTTGTCTAGAAAGTATTTAGTTGCAGTTCGATTTCGATCAAAATTTAATAATCATTACAATTGTCTACAACTAAATATTTTCAACAATTATCTGTTCGACAAAAATAGGTATCCGATGATGGTGAGCTGACGAGAAATTTCGATCATTAATTCGAAAATTTGAATGTTAATTGTCATTCAATAGAAATCCTCAGGCTTTTCTTCATTCAAAATATCAAAATAATGAGATAAACATTAAGGCATTGTCCAATATAATCATTGAGCGAAACTGTTCTTTCTTTCTACCTTCCTTGGTCAAAGTTCTTTACTTCAAATAATGATTTTCATATTTTCAGCACCATTTCTATGCAATGCAACTGTGAATGTAAATGTTAAATGGAAACAGAATGGTGTTACTGTAGCTGGAGGAAATGGAAGCGGTAGTGGAATGAATCAACTCCATTATGCACAAGGTTTGTATGTTGATGATGATCAAACCATCTACATTGCTGACGGTTCAAATCATCGTATTGTCGAATGGAAATATGGTGCGACGACTGGTCGAATTGTGGCCGGTGGGAATGGACAAGGAAATCATCCTGATCAGTTGGACAATCCGAGCGATGTGATTATTGATAAAGAAGGTGATTTTTTCATCATTTGTGATCGTGGCAATAAAAGAGTAGTTCGATGGCCTCGTCAAAATGGTGAAAATGGAGAAACGATCATTTCAAATGTTGGATGTTGGGGCTTGACAATAGATGATGATGGATTTCTCTATATTGCTGATCATGATAAACATGAAGTTAGACGATATCGAATAGGAGAAAGCCAAGGAAAGGTGGTTGCCGGTGGGAATGGATCAGGTAATCGTCTCGATCAGTTGACTAGTCCAAAATATTTATTTGTCGATCGTGATCATTCAGTCTACGTATCAGATTCCTTTAACCATCGTGTCATGAAGTGGATGGAAGGTGAAAAAGAAGGAATTGTTGTGGCTGGTGGTCAAGGTCATGGAAATAGTCTTACACAATTAAATTATCCTCAAGGAGTTGTCGTGGATCAGACAGGTACTGTCTACATAGCTGATGATATGAATCATCGAATAATGCGTTGGTTTCAAGGTGCAACAGAGGGAAATGTCATTGTTGGCGGAAATGGTGAAGGAAGCCAACCGAATCAACTCTATTATCCAACCAGTTTGTCATTTGATCGAGAGGGAAATCTCTACGTTAGTGATCCAAGAAATCATCGAGTGCAAAAGTTCAACATTGATCAAAATTGATAATTTTTGAAAATTGACATTATTTTAACGTTTTCATTATAGTTTTGAACAATTATTTTCTGTCGGCTAGTATATGATCATAAATCACCTGGAAAAACTCATTTTTGGATGAATTTGGGTGTGGGTGAGTGTGCGTGTGGATAAAGAGAAGTGAACATCCACACCCGCAGCCACCTACACACACACCCACATCCACACCCACACCCACCCACACCCACACCCACACCCTTCTTATAAGATGAACTGAGTTACCAAGTTTTCATTTAAAGAATAGTCATGTTTCTTATATTTCACTGTAGTTAAAAATTAAGATTAGTTTAATGCTATTACAAGCATCACAGCGATTCCTGGACTTCGTTCTTCTATGTTTTTAATGGTAGAACAAAGACGAATTAATACTTAATAAATAAGCGTCAACTTTGGATGAGTCTTTTTGAAGATTTTTATAATTGTATGCAATTCCTTGGTATTAAACAAATTGTTGCTGATATCTAAGAAGATTAGAGTATCAATCTGAAAGATCTCCATTGGAAGAAATGTCAATTGATTATTTGATAAAGAGAGAAAAGTTATATTGTGAATATTGCAAATTTCAGGTGGAATAAAATTGAGATGGTTTGAACTAAAATCGAATTCTTTACTTGCGCTCGTGTTATGACCCAATGTTTCAATACCATTAAGATTTCTTAGATTATTGTTCGATATTAATAGACTTACGAGATTGGGCAGATTATACGGTAAACGATCAATTGAACAATTTCTTGCCATGATATATTGCATGTTACGATTACCATTGAGTGATTGTAATGAATGAAGACGTAGATTATCATCTAATATGAGCATGTTTAATGATCCTATATTCGATATTGTCTGTGGCAGTGATACAAGATTATTTTTATCTAATCGTAAGAAATTTAAAGGTAAATTACCAATAGCATCTGGTAGATTGATAAGACCGGTGTTTCTCATCTCGAAGCTTGATAGATTTTTTAATTTGCCAAAGTTTTCAGGTAACTGAGTTACTTTTGTATTCTCAATGTACACTGTAGTTAGCGACGAAGAAAGATATTCAATTTCTGGTGGAAATTGGAAATCAGCATCATTATCAGAAAAATATGGAAAAATGCTTGAATTTATCATATTAAAATATTTTAGATGTTTCAAGCAAAAAACAGTAAGTGGTAAAACATTTTCATTCTCTATAACCAACATGTAAATTTGATATTCTGTTTCTTGATATGCATATGTTGTTGAAGAGTGGACGCCATCTGATTGTATGTTAACATGAAATGGAAATGAAGCAAGAACATCATAATCGTCATCATACAAAGAACAATCAAGTGGTACTCGTGTTTCAGAAGGAATTTCTTCATTTGAGTGCATGTCTTTAAAACTTTGAGTAGCAATCATCAATTGAATAAAGCAAATTGAAAGAGATAATGTAACTAAATATTGCATGTCCAAAACTAATCACGTTTGGTTATCGATAACAATAGATGATGATAAAGTTTGTAATGTATTCTTATAATACCACCAACACAGTTATTTACAGGTTGTTTTTTGACAAAAGTTTGTCTTGGTATACAAATATCATTTATAGGCTTATAAAAATAATAAATATCTTGCTCTTTTATCGTATAATCTATGTGATTATATCGTTTTCACGATTTTAGTAGGTAACGAATGTCATGGTATTTTTTATGACGAAAGAGAAATAAAATGTGATGATGAGATGATTCCAAGGGGGAAACAGCGGACTTTTGGACTTGAAGTTACTTCAAGTTATTTCAAGTTACTCCAAGTCACTTTTACCTACTTGAAGGCTACTTTCAAGTACTTCAAGTTTACTTATAGGTAGTTAGAGTCTACTTTGAACTACTTGGATGATACTTTTGAGCTACTTGAATGGTACTTTGACCTACTTGGAGCTACTTGAAATCACATTGTTTTACTTGAAGTGACTTTGTTCTACTTGATGCAACTTCGAGTTACTTGA